GTTTGCATATCTACAATTTCAATGTCTGTATAATTTTCTTTGATTTAAAAATCTACAGTTCTTTTTTTTTTAATCGGTACCAGGGATCAAACTCACGACTGCCTGCATGCAAGGCAGGCACTTATGCCGCTGAGCTAAATCCCCAGCCCCAAATCTACAGTTCTGGATGGGCATAGTGTGGAACATCTATAATCCCAGCAGGTGGAAGGCTGAGGCAGGAGGATCACCATGAGTTCAAGGCCAACCTGGGCTACTTAGCCAGCTGAAGGCCAGCCTAGACTATATCGTGAGACCCTGTCCCATAAAACCAAACTAAAAAAATAAAATGGAAATTCCAGAAAGAACTAGTAATGAGATGTGTAAGACCCAACATTGAGTTTTGGAGATTGAAGAGTGAGTCACCAAGATCAGACTCTGGCACATGGCTCCCACTGTTTATCTTCTAGTCCTTAGCTCTAACTTGGGTTTATAATATGCAGGAGCACCCCATCCTCAGTATGAGCAGGGCATGGCCTGGGACAGGCCAAGTACTTGATAGATGCATGAGGAGGTTGCTGAGTATTCTTGGGCTCATCCTTGTCTCTCTCAGGGAGTAGCCATGGGAGCAGAGTGTGACACTTGACAGGGTGGAGTTCAAATAGAAAATAGAACTTTTCTGCACAATCTTCCTGATTCATTGTTTTTGATAAGCCTTGAAAAAATGAACCTTTTTTTTTTTTTTTAAAGACAAAAGTCTCACTACGGAGAGCAGGCTCACCTGCAACTCACAGTGATCCTCCTGCATCAGCCAAAAGTGCTAGGATTACAGGCATGCACAAACCTGATGAAAAATTATTTTCTTTTGTATGCTCAGAGCCTCCATCCAGATTGCCTCTTGGGCATATACACTTGGAGTGGTCACTTTAACCGTTTTCTAAGGAGTGTTCAGTAAACACAGCCTTCAGGATCAATGATTGGAACTGCTTAGTGTCTTTGGCCTATGAGTTGTTGCAATTAGCACATTCACAGATACCCTATGTTCTTACTTCTATATGGAGGCTAAACACACTGATTTTTAGCTGGATATGGCAGCACACACATGTAATTCCAGCATCAGGAGGCTGATGTAGGAGGATCACTTTGAGTCCCAGACCAGTATAGGCTACCTAGTGAATTCAAGGCCAACCTGAACTACATAGTAAGACTCTGTCTCAGAAAAAAGAAAGAAAAAATATTTATCTCATAGAAGCACAGAGTAGAACAGTGGTTACCAGAGGCTAGAAGGGCATGAGAAAGGATACAGAAAGATAGCAGCTATAGGAGTACAGTTGGGCAGGAAGAATCATTGCTAATGTTCTATATCACAGTGGGAAACTGGCTGGCAATTAATTGTGTATTTAGAGATGATAAACATTAGACATGATGATGGGTGGGCCGTAACCCTGATCTGGTTATTATACAGTATGTATGTGCCTTGAAATAGCAACTTGTAAATATCACCCCATAAATGTGTAGTTACTACGTCACTTAAAAATTTAAAAGCACATAATTTTAAAAATCAGCACTTTACCTTCCATCTGCACAGACAGTGATAATAGCACAAGGGTTCCTATTCCTGCAATGGTGAGCAGCTTTACACATCATCACACTTGACCTGACAACCCCATAAGGAAAGAGGTGCAGTCACCCTCTTTACACAGGAGGCAACTGAACAGTAGAGTGAGTAAGTTAGGGCCTGAGATTGCCATTAACAGAGTCACAGTAGAGATTCCTCCCAGAAATTCCTCACTTAGTTCCTGGTAACTGTTTGTCACTGCCATCCACCTGTGGCCTAGTAAGTACATGATTATAGCTCCTGTCGTCCTGCAGGCCGGCTCAAATGCCTTCTGTCCCACCTGTTAATTGTTTGCCTGGAGTTGGAATTACTCCAGAAAGCTGGTGTAATGGAAGGCAGATAGCAGCCTCCCAAAGCTATTCCTGTTCTAGTCCCAGAACCTGTAATATGCTCCCACACACAGCAAAGGGAGGCCTGCAGGGCTAAATTGAGGCTGGGGGGGGGGGCATTTTATATGCAACTACCAGATAGGATCCAAGATAACACTAATGGTCTGTACCAAGGAAAGAGGGATGCAGGAGAGATGGAGGAACAGAAGCAGAGGTTGGAGGAGGCATGTCTTAGTTACTTTTTACTCGTCGCTGAGACAAAATACCTAAAGCCCAAAGTTGGGAAAGGAAAGGTTTATTTCTTACAGTTTTTGGAGGTTTCAGTCCATACTCAGTTGGCTCCAAGGCAGGCTGGCATGGCAGGGCCACAGTTCATGGCAGCTGCAAACAACAAGGCAGAAACCCATAAGAGAGAGCAAGACACACCTTCTGCCATTACATTACATCCTGGCTCCACCCCTATGTGGGTGTAGCACTGACACAATCAATCCAAGCACTAGACAATGAACCAATCACAAATGTACAATGTAAACTCATGAGGCCTGGGGGCCACAGACATAAACCATGACAAGGCACTTGCTGGCTGGGAGCACCACAAAATGAAAGTGGCCCTTAGAAGGTGGGCATAGCAAAGAGACATCCTTTCCTGCAGCCTCCAAAGAAACAAAGCCCACTGAGCCCTGCAAGACTTTTTTTTTTTTTGTATCAAAAATTGAACTCAGGACCTTGCACTTGTCAGGCAGACACTCATGCCACTGAGCTATATCCCCAAGACTCAGTTCTGATCTCTGACTCCAGAAGAAAATTAATTTGTGTCTTAAGTCACTAAATTTGTGGTAATTTTTTACAGCAGCAAAACAACAGTCATAGACATTCAGATCCCTCTTCCACACACAGGCCAACTCATGCGGTAATGCCTAGCAATGCTGCCACTTTACCTAGTGCTTAGCTTTGGTTCCAACTCAAGAGGAGACAAAGGCAACTGTCACTCTCCTGAGTTCTCAGAGCTGTCCTCACAAGGTCACATGGGTAGGTCTCACTGACAGCTTTCTTTTTGTTCTCTTCAAAGCACTAGAGTGAAGTTGTAATCACTGCAATTGGGAGGCTAAGACAGAAGGATTGCTGAGAGGTCTTGGCCAGCCTGGGCTACATAGTAAATACATGCCAGACTGAACTGTGTAGCAAGACCCTGCCTCAAAAACCAAAAACAATTACGAAAGCACTAGGGTGAGCACTCAAGCATCCTAAATTGATTAGTTTAGCCAGGATCTCACTGTATCTGCCAGGTTTAAGAAATTTACTGAGCAGGACCTGCATCCTTAAGGAGCTCCCACTGGAATGGGGTAGCAGGACATGTAAACAAACTATCACTGTAGAACACAAGAAAATATGTGCAAAGACCAAACTCTCTCTAGTGAAAGATTCCAGGAGTATAGCAGGTACAAACTCCATCTGAGGAGCAGAAGGGGACAGGCTTGGCAAGGGGTGATATGAGAGCTGGCTGGTGACTCAAGTGGAATACCCCAGCTTTGGTGGAAAAGGTTTTGGTCTCTGCCAGAACTGCTGCACATCTTACAGGCTGGAAACAGGAAGGCCCAGAGAGGAAGAGGTCAGGCCCAAGAAACTGCTGACACCTGCCCCACTGCAGATGATCCAAGTGCCAGTCATTCTCTATGATTTCCTGGGAAGTTGAAGAGAAAGATTTCATATACTGTAATATGCTAGCTTCCCTACTTGAGGTTTATGCTTACACAGTGGGAAATTTCTGTCTCTAAATAAACTTAGATTGGGCCACGGATTTAGCTTAGTGAAGTAAGCACTTGTCTGGCAAGTGTGAAGTCATGAGTTCCAGCCCTGGTACCAAAAAAAACCCAAAAATCTTAAATTATAATTTAGTTTAGAAACTAGTTAAGAAAATAAACACAATATATGGAGATAATAATAAGCTAATGTTTACTGTGCAATATCTAACATGTTCCATTTAGGCACATGCCTATTAGCTCAGAATTTAAAAGGCTGAGGTGGGAGAATCACTGCAAGTTTGGGGCCAGCCTGAGCTAGAGAGTTCAAGTTCAGCCTGAACCACATAGTGACCCTGTCTCAAAAAAATATATGTATCTCAGAATCTAAGGCATAACTTTTGAGATTTCCCAGTCCTAAATTTAATTGTGAAAACCACACATACATACATCGTGTTCAGAAGAGTTCTAGACTGAGAGACTAAATTTTTTGCAATAGAGGGAATTGAACCTCTGCCTTTGCACTGAACCAGTTTTTGTTTTGTGTTTTGTTTTGTACCGGGAATCACGACTTTGCACTTGCCAGGCAGGTGCTTGTGCCACTGAGCTAAATCCCCAGCCCTCAGACACTAAATTTTAAAACTGAAAAGGATCTTAAAGATAATGTGGTAGAACTTGATGTATAGATGAAGAACATGAGGTCTGGACACCTTAAGACCTGGGGGGAAACTCAGAAACACACCAGAGTTTCCCTACCCAGCCCACAGTTTTTGCCTGCAAATCACATTTCTAGTTCAGTTTCCTTTAAAATTTACCTGAACAAACAAAACAAAGTCTATCTGGACTTGTCTGTTTTGTTCCCAACCCTTCCACACTATAAAAATTTACCTGTGTAGGCTGGGTGTGATGGCCCACGCCTGTAGCCCTAGCACTGGGAGGCTGAGGCAGAAGGATTGCCATGGTCAAAGGCCAGCCTGGACTACACAAAGAGGGACCCTATCTCAAAAACAAAATAAACAAATAAAAAACAATTATATGTGTTTAGCGTATCATCTTCATAAATTTAACTGTTGATCAGAGTTTTAAATTCATTACACCACGATTATAAATGAGATAAAAATAGTAAAAGCCGGGCGTGGTAGCTCCCGCCTGTAATCCCAGCAATCGAGAGGCTGAGGCAGGAGGATCACTGTGAGTTCGAGACCACCCTGGGCTATAAAGTGAACTCAAGGCTTTCTCGAAAGGCATTAGAGAGACCCTGTCTCCAAAAGACACTCACACACAAAAAGGTAAAAGATACATAAGTGTATCTTTCATTATAAATAACAAACACAGTGCTTCGTTTGAAACATTTTTATTATAAATTCAAAGTATTCAATCTCTATTTTTGAAAATTTCCTCATGATATAAAGTAACTTTTTTTTTTATCGGTACCGGGGATCAAACTCACGAGTGCCTGCTTGCAAGGCAGGTGCTTATGCCGCTGAGCTAAATCCCCAGCCCCATAAAGTGACTTTTTTTAATGACAAGTGAGATACCCTATTTATCAAAAAAAAAAAGTCTGAGAAGCAGCGCGGTCGGTCGGGCGCCAGGGCTCGGCAGGAGCCCGGCCGCGAGGGAGAGGCCGCCGCTGCGGGCGCGGCCCGGCTCCACGCGGCTCCCGCGCCAGGACGCGGTGGCCCAGGCGGCCGGGAGGTCAGCGGTGTCGCCGCGGAGCGCCACTACTCACCTCCATCACTATTTCAACCACGGAACTGTGGGTGGTTTTAGCTATTTCTCACCTCCGTTTAGCATTTTGTTTTTGCTAGGTCCTTCAATCAACTGAGTAAGCTCTGAGTGTTTATTCTCGGTTAGCCATGAAGGAAGGAGCTGAGCAATTCACGCAGATTTGGGGCTTTCCCAGAGAGATTCACAAACGCTGAAATTCAGCCCTGTTTGGTGAACTACCGGGAGCAGCGCCGTGGAGGGCGCCACCCGTTCCGGCACAAGGACGGCGGGGCCCAGCCCACGCCCCGGGGTTCCGGAGGTCGCCAGAGGGGCGGTGGGCTGGGTGGGGCGGGCTGGGTGCAGACGCCCCAGGGCCAGACTGGGGCGTGGCGGGCAGGCCCGGGCAGGGCCACGTGACCGCCCCGCCCTGCGGCTCGCCGGCCCCGCCCCCCGGGGCTGCAGCTCCCGGCGTGCTCCGCACTCGCCGCCGCCCGCCCCTCCTCTCCGCCTGCCAGTGCCGCCGAGCCCCAGCCGCCGCCGCAGTCTCAGCGCGGGCACTATGGTAAGGCGGGCGCGCGGGCCGGGAGGCTAGGGCGCGGTGAGCGGAGCCCCCGGGCGCGGCCCTAGGAGCGAGGTCGCCATTTTAACCTGGTTTGGGCCACGGAGGTGGTCGACCCACGCTGCGCCCTCGCTGCCCTCTCTCTGGCCAGCGGGCCAGTCCTCCCCGCAGTCAGGCCGGGCCCTGCGGCTCTTGGATTCCTGGGGGCGGGGAGGCCCGGCGGGCGCGGGCGCGGGTGAGGGGCGGGCGGGCGCCGGGGCGCGGGAGGGTCGGTGAGGTGATGCCTGGCGCGTGCCGCCTCTGCCTTTCGCTTTCTTGTTTTCCGTAAGACTCGCGCTCTGAAATTGCTGTGTGCTTTGAAGGCTTTGGGTCAGGGTCTAGATGTCCTGTAATAAAACCCAAAGGAGAAGATTAAGGAGGTGGAACAACTCTTAAAAATGCTTCCCCGCGGCCAAAAGCTTTTCCACCCGGCCCGTTAGTTTGAAGGAACCTGCCTGTGAGCGGCAGGGGTGATTATGTTGTAGCCGTGGGCAGCAGGAGTTTACACTAGATTCTCTTTCCTTATGAGGAAACGGCAGTGGCTAGGATGACTTTAAAGAAAAAAAATAGTAGAAGCATTCACTGAAATCCGAAATGTTTTTTTTAAGGCCTGCAGAGTTGACACAATACAGAAGGTATTTTTGCTGCTGTTCCTGAAGCTCTGACATCACCCAATGAAATAGGAAACATTTCAGGGATAGAACAACTTGTATTTTGTTCCTTTCGATCCACCTTCCATTTGCTTTTTTTCTCCGCTGTCCTTTAAGAAGGATGAATGGGCAGGATGAATTAGAGAATCTTTAGGTGTGTCGTATAGGGATACTTTAAAATGTGACAAATTGGTTTGAATTACCTGCATGGAGTCCTACACTTTTTACCGTCAAAACAAAATGAATCCTCTAGGCAAACAATAACTGACCAAAACCAAAATACTTGTTCTGATTTAACTGTTCTTTATTTTCAGGCATCTGGAGTTACAGTGAATGATGAAGTTATCAAAGTTTTTAATGATATGAAAGTAAGGAAATCTTCTACACAAGAGGAGATCAAAAAGCGAAAGAAAGCAGTTCTCTTCTGTTTAAGTGATGACAAAAGACAAATAATTGTAGAGGAAGCGAAGCAGATCTTGGTGGGTGACATTGGTGATACTGTAGAGGACCCCTACACATCTTTTGTGAAGTTGCTACCTCTGAATGATTGCCGATATGCTTTGTACGATGCCACATACGAAACAAAAGAGTCTAAGAAAGAAGACCTAGTATTTATATTCTGGTGTGTAAAAACAAAAGAAAAAAGTACTTTTAAAATCCAAGGATTATTATCATAGTCAGTTTTGCCTTTGTTTTTCTAATAAGTGAGATTCAACAATTTTTTTTCCCATAGGGCTCCTGAAAGTGCACCGTTAAAAAGCAAGATGATTTATGCTAGCTCTAAAGATGCCATTAAAAAGAAATTTACAGGTACAAACACTTTTGTGCAAAGAAAGTACTGTTTGCTAATTATAATACGCTAATGAGATTTTTTTTTTTCTTTTTAGGGATTAAACACGAGTGGCAAGTAAATGGCTTGGATGATATTAAGGACCGTTCAACACTTGGAGAGAAACTGGGAGGCAATGTAGTAGTTTCACTGGAAGGGAAACCGTTATAAAATGACAATCAAGTGCCATCTGGATCTTAAGGAGCTTTTCCAGTTCAATCCATTGGAATAGTATTAGGTTTTGTTTTTGTTTTGTTCCCTTTCCACCGGACCCTTCCAACACAATGAATGAAGGAGATACCATTCATTTAAGCAGCTTGTCAGTGATTGCCATTAGACTGTTTAACACCATTACTTTTATGTACAGCCCAAGGAATGCCTTTCCATCTTTAGCCAAAACTACTGGTTACATGCCTCCCTTGCTGCAAGCACTACAATGAATGTGATTGTCAATGTGAATAGCTTAGAATACTGCAGAGGATAAGCTAATTGAATGCCTTGAAAGTATTAGCCACTGGTTAGATGGTTAACTTTTTTCAGTATTATTTATAGTTGTACTTGATTGCAGTTCTGTGAGGCGCTCAGCGTTCATACACCTCACCTGCCTTGGCAAGCCTATTTTTGTGACATGGCAGCACAGATATAACACTATGCATTAAAAGCACTTTTTTTGTAATGAGTTTAATCCTGAAAGGAATGCCAATTTAAGTTTCATTAACTGTGTCATCAGTTTATCTCCTAGTACCTCAGTGTTCATTCTTGTTACCTGTGTATGTTAAATAGCTGTTACAGTAATAATGCCTTTGTGTTTTTTTGTTAAGTGTACACTACTGAATAAGTGTAGAAGTTTTATGTTTACCATGTGAGTCTTGCAACACTACACATAGTTTTAATATCAGTCATGATGGCAATTTCTGTATAAAAGAGCCTTAAATGGAACATTGTTTTGAGATCAAACTCCCTACCCTCACAAAAGTGGCCACGTTGCAATAAAAAGTGTGGCATATTACAGAATGTTTTCTTGTTTTCCTTGGAAATTTTGCAAAATATTATGTGGAACAACTGTTAAGTAAACAGCTATTAATGTCTGCATTGGTCATTTAAGAACTTTTATATGACATTCATGCATGATACTTTCTAGATTTTTTAATTTCTTTGGTTTTAAAAAAAAGTAGAGCCACTTAATATAAAATACCATCCTTAAAGAGTGGTACTTTTATAAACATGTTTATTTTAATATGAAGATCAGAGGGTTTTTTTTGCACTTTGACGTAAGTACTTTTGAATATCTTAGTTTGTTTTCTGAATAAGATGGTTTTTAAAATTTATTTACGTTTCTGAATAGTAGGAAGTTTTTCATGCTTATTTGGCCATAATGAAAAGAAGTTATAAAATGTTCTTCAAAAGTTTCATATTTCTGATGTTTAGAAACATTGAGCCACTATTCATTATGATGCTTTTCCAAACTGAATTGGAAAAAGAAATTAGTATAGCAATCTTAAGCATTAGTAGTGGGATTTGGCCTTAGTCCAGATTGCTCTCCTTATAGAGAATTTGATCTACTCAGTGTGAGCGGTTTGCTGTTAGCCAGAGCTATTTATGGCAAACACATGCTTTTGTATCTTGTCATAGTTATCCACAAATGGCAAAACTGGATTTGATTCTACTGGTATGCAAAACAGGCATGTTAGTAAGCAGTCAGTCATAGCTCAGAATTTAACCTCACAGTTCTAAAAAATTCTTTTATCAGAAAACAGGAAATAAAAATAGCCCCTTTTAAAAAATTGTGTTAAACATGTGAAAGAGATTGGAGTATAATTAGATTTACCCCATATTTTGAAAGATTTTTCAGGTCAGACTATAACATGTCTAGGCTTATATTTATAATTGTATGAATGACTTAGGATCCTTTTTGCCCTAAGTAATTTTATTTCAGGCTTCCAGCTACCCCAGTGAGTTATCCAGGCTTTTCAGTAGCTTTTTGGTAAGGCCAAACTAATAAAGCATGAGAATATTAATGTGTCCTAAACCATATATGTAACTGATACACATACAATGGAGTTTTTTTATTATTTCATTGTTCTAATAATGGACTTCCAAAAAGCAAATCAGTTATGTAATATCTTTTGTTTCTAAGTTGATTCAATGTCCTGTGTCTTTATATAATACTCTTAAACTGATACTTTGTTAGATTGACAAAAACATTAAAGTAGTTCATCTTTGAACTATACTTTTGTGCATAGAGCCAAAATAATATAATTAATAGTGGGTCACATGTTAAGATTGATTTGGCATTTGAAATGATCTTATTTTATAATCATTTATAGTGAAACAATGTTTCAGTTAGCTTTAAAAAATATATGGTGCTAATTAGTAAAATATTGAGGGCAATATTTTACTGCTGGCTTGCAAAATTATAAATGTTTAAAAAATAAAATATATGGAAATTAAAGCTGTTGAGATGTGTTTACTTACACTTTGGAACACTAAAATTCAAGAAACTAATATTGCAAATCAAAAGCACCATTATCTATAGCCTCTTGGAATTTTAGTTGATGTTTTTTATTTACTGATAGCAGTGTTCTTGGAAAACTAAATGTTGAAACAATTAATTTTAGCCTTTTCAGACAAATGTGAACAGTTGGCATTTGTCCCAAACTGGCTGTCAGCTGTCATTTTCCATCATTATGTTAAATAGTATGGCCAGCATTCTGTAGTTACTGTGTCTTTCTAGTACATTAGATGACAAGCCTCTTACTAGGTTTGAATTTCTCTGATACAGATCCTTGAAAGGGCTAATTTATGGGATCTTAGCACTAACGGGCTTTGGGAAAAAACTTGAAGATATTTTTTTTTTTAAAACTCAGCAATGGTAAACCATTGAGAGGCTTGGAGGACTTCATTAGGTTTGTCTCTTAAAACTTGTTCTGCCCTCTTTAGGTCCTGTTTTTGCTTGCAATTTTAATAGTAGTTGGAGATGCAATACAACATGAACATTTATTTTTCTGTGAGGAGTAAAGCTGCTAGAGATGTTCAGGCCACTTCATCTAGTGTTGCTCTTTGGACAGCTGAGTCTATAATGTTCTGTCTCATCTTAGGGTTTAAACAAGTCAGGCTGTTCCTTTGCTTTAGAATCATAAATGTAGGCCAGGGATGTGGCTCAGTGGCATAGCTCCTGCCTGGCAAGCACAAGGTCCTGAGTTCAATTCCATGTACCAAAAAAAAAAAAAAAAAAAAAAAAAAAGCTCACAAATGCTTCTTTCCATGCAGAATTGGGAGTTACTACTACGGTTTCCTCTCAATGTAATTGAGCAAATTATTTATTCTGAGCTTCAGTTTTTTTAGTGCATAATACAAAAATTATATCTGTCTACCATTGCTGGTAGAAAAATAGAAGAGTTTTTTTTTTTTGTTTTTTTGGGGTTTTTTTGGTACTGGAGATCAAACTCACTACCTAGCGCTTGCCAGGAAGACACTTATGCCACTGAGCTAAATCCCCAGTCCCTAGAAATGCTTTTTTGGAAACAGGAAAAATCTACATAAATGTCATAATTCGTTTGAACCATTTATCCTTAATAGGTATAAAGAGATAAACTGGCAAGTTAATAAGATTTATTAAGAATCCATGCACCTCTACTTTGTCATCACTCAATCTCGTTTAAGTACTAATTAGATTATATATAGCATCTTTTTTTAGATACATGAAATGTAGTTCTGCCAGGGTGAGCCAGGGATGTAACTCAGTGGCACAGCAGCTGCCTAGCAAGCACAGCACCATCAGTTTGATTCCCAGTACCCCCCCACCAAAAAACATGCCAGGACAACAGGCTTAGAACAAACTCTGGAAGAGGTGTAGCTACCCTATCAAGAAGGTAGGCTGATATTGAAATAGAATGAGCTGTATTAAGGATCCATAGTCAATTTATTGTGTATCTAGTGGCTTAGGAGTCTCGTGAAGTGTATGATTGTACATCTCTTTCATATTTGGAAACTATCAGATACTCTTGCTATAATTGTATGTTTCACTACATACTTTTCATTCACTCTTGACTCCTGACACCTAATCTGATTGTGAATGTATAGCAGTTTATTAGTTTATTTGGAAAAAAAAAAGGAACAGATTTTTGTGCAAATAGTCATTTTTGCACAGAAATGTGATAAGAGCTAGTGGTATACTGTTGTGGCATATTTTATTTTTTAAATTAAAAAGCACACAAACTAAGTGTGGTGGTACTCACCTGTAATGCCAGCACTTGGGTGGCTGAGGCAAGAGGATTACCATGAGTTCAAGGCCAGCCTGGGATACATAGCAACTTCAAGATGAGACTAAATTATACAGCTAGACCCTGTCTCCAAAAAAGCAAAAATGTACTAAATTACCAGATTAAAAAAAGGCTTTCAACTTATAATTAGACACCATTTTTATTTTTATTTATTTATTTTGGTGGTATTGGGGATCAAGCTCACAATCTTGTGCTTGCCAGGCAAGTGTTTGTGCAGCTGAGCTAAACCCCTGGCTCTAGACACCGTTTTTTAGAAGTAGAAATGACAGTAAAGTATTTTGTTCTAGAAATCATAAAACTTCATTATATCACAGGATGCTGTGAAACAGCTGTACTTCATGAAGTAAGTGGAAAAGAAATTCTTAGGGGATTTTTTTGTTGTTTTTTTATGAGACAAGTTCTCACTTGTAGTCCAGAGTGGCCTTAAGCTCCTGCCTCAGCTTCCCGAGTGCTGGGATTACAGACATGTACCACCATGGTCAGCTTGAAAAGAAGTACGTGGAAATCAGTGTTTAAACCTTTAGTGTGGGGCTGGGAATTCAGTTCAGTGGCATAAGCACCTGCCTTGCAAGCAGGTGGTCGTGAGTTCAATCCCCAGTACCGATTAAAAAAAAAAAAAAAACTTTAGTGTGTACAATAGCAATAGATCAAAGATTTCAAAGAAAAAGTGCCATTTTTTTACTCCTAATTGCTCATTGCCAATTGTGTCATGAAGAAATGTAGAGAATTTTCAATTTTAAAGTCTTACATGAGGGTGAATGGGACAAGGAACTAACAAAACTGGAGTTAACCATTTACCTAATTTAAAAGATTTTAAATGTGCCCCCCTTTTTTAAGGCTTGACCATTTAAACCTTTCCTTTTCTTGGGAAGCTGTGGCAGAAGGATTGTTGCAAGTTTGAGACAAGCCTGGGCTACAAAGTGAACTCAAGGCCAGCCTGAGCTGCATAGAGGCACCATACTTCAAAAAGACAAAATTTTTAATTAAAAATTTTATATATATATATATATATATATATATATATATATATTTCCTTTTATTTTAGTAAAATAAAATAAAATAAAATTGTGGATTTACAAGCCAGACATGGTAGTACACACTTAACTGAGGCAGGAGGATCACAAATTGAAGGTTAACCTAGGAACATAGCAAGACCTGTCTCAAAAAAAAAGAAAGGGGGGCTGGGGATTTAGCTCAGTGGCATAAGCGCCTTCCTTGCAAGCCTGTGGTCGTGAGTTTGATCCCTGGTACTGGTAAAAATACAAAAAAAAGAAAGAAAGAAAGAAAGAAAGAAAGAAAAACTATGAGGCTGGAAATGGTCTCATGCTACTGTAATCTCAGCACTTGGGAAGCTGAGGCAGGAGGATCCCTGTGAGTTTAAGGCCAGCCTGGGGTACAAAATGAGTTCTAGGCCAGCTTGAACTGCACAGTGAAACTCTGCCCATAAAAGAAAACAAAACAAAACAAAAACAAAAACAGCAAGTACACTATGCATGGGCCACCAGGCGGAAGAGCCAGACACCAGCCCTTTTTTTTTTTCTTAATCAGAGGATTAAGAACAACCGCCTGCTTGCAAGGCAGGTGCTTAATGCCGCTGAGCTAAATCCTCAGCCCCAAGACACCAGCCTTTTTCCCATGAGTCAGCACCATTTGTAGACTGCAGGGGAAGAGAACAAGAAGCCACCAAGAAGCAAGCTGTCCTTGCAAACTGGCGCCATACACAGACCACTG